TTTTACAGAGATTTGCTATAATCTTGACCACTATCCTAAAAACTCGGTTCAAGAATCCTGCACACCCATGGGCACTCTTATGGGTGAAATTGAGCCAGATGGAGCCAAGAGGAGAGAAAATATTTCTAGACAAGGATTTTACACAGAGTTTTTATAACCTTGACCTTTCATCTAGAAAACCGGTTCAAAATCACTGCACACCCTCTACCAGAGGGCACTCTATGGATTAAGTATGAGCCCAAATGGACAAAAGGGAGAGAAAATATGCTCCCAGACATAGATTTACACAAGACTTTTTTTTTATCTTGTCCATAGATTGGAAAATTGGTTCAAGGTCACTTCACACCCTCTACCCACAGGTATACTATGTGGGTGAGTTTCGATTCCCACTGTGCCAAAGGGAAACAAAATATGCTTCAGACAAGGATTTTTTATGCAAAGAGGTTTCATGACTTGACCTTTCATCTAGAAAATTGGTCAAAGGTCACTGCACACCTTCTACCTATGGATACTCTTTAGGTGAATCATGAGCCCAACTGGGCCTAGGGGAGAGAAAATACACTCTAGACAAGAATTATACACAGAGAGGTTTTTTAAAGACCTTGACCTTTGAGAGCTAGAAAATTGATTCAAGGTCACTGCACACCCTCTACCCAAGGGCAATCTATGAGTAAAGTTTGAGTCTGACTGGGCCAAAGGGAGAGAAAATATGCTCTGGACAAATGAAACAGGATGGACACACGGAGCCCAAAAAACTAATATCAGTGTTATTTTTGCCCTTTAACACATCCAAACAATTTTGCCTTTTTCAAATTTGCCCAGTCACAGTTCTGTTCAAGAAAATAAACTGTGTTCTTTGAATTTGCCCTGTTTTAAATTTGCCCACCTGATAGTAGGGCGAAAAGGGCAAAAATAAAATGGGGGCGAAAATTTCCCTGTATACAGTAGTACCAGTGTCCAATACATAGACACATATATCAATTTTTTCCTCTTAGATACTCTTTACGATACATTTTCTATGATATCAGTACAAACAATACATGTTCCTTCCATAGCTTTAAAATCAAACTATTAGGCAACCTGAATTTTGATTAGTTAAAATTTCTTTAAGGGCAAATTTAGGACTAAGAAATCACAAACAGTTAAGAAATTATAAAATAAGTTTGAAACAACAAGCATTGCATAAGTGACTGTATGTGTGTCAAAATTGAAAATACAACTTCTGTATGATTTCAGAGCATTTTTTCCTCCTTCCTCTAAAAATTGAATTACAAAGGTTGGCAAAAGTCATACTGTAACATTTTGTAATTCATTCAATATTAACATGTATTGTATTGGAATAAGTGTGTCAAGATACTGTCACATGCATCTAAACACGAGGTGTGTGTATTGTTTCAACTTTAGTTTCAGTCTTTGATTTTTTTTAAATTTGAAATATTTCCTTCATTGAATTTTGATATATTCCCACTAGTAAGGTATGTTTCAGGCAAAGAGAAGTTTTTTTTTTTCAATAGCCAAAGAATCTTCCATTTCTGACATGACTGTTTGGTTTCTATAGTTGCCATTTTAAAATATATATAAAGTAAAAAACTAACATGATTAGTTTTCAATTTTTATCGATCATAAACCCATTACTACTGAAGTTAAGTTTTACACAAGTCCACAGATAATTTTCTCTATCCAACTCAGTTCAGTGTAGTGTAGCCTTTGCATTTCATAAACTAGAGGTACCATGAGAACAGAGCTCACAAAATGATAACCCCCACTCCCGTACGAGTATAATGACAAAGTTCAATTTTTAGCTATGGATAACCCCAAATACCTGTCTGATCAGAACATAAAATGAAGGTGCACAGTGACACTATGTTATAAAGATTCTGTGAAAGTCTAATAAAATTTTATTCAGTGGTAAAGGAGGAGTTGCAGATAAGACATGGGTACCCCCAATATTGTATTATAAAGAACGGCAGTGTCTATGTTTTGCAACAGGAATCCCCAAATATGTGTCCTATCGATATGTAAAATAGGAGGTTACAATGGTACTATGAAATGAAGATTCTATGAAAGTCTCATTAAATTTTATTCAGTTGGTGTATGGATAAGAGATGGGTACTCCAAAGTGTTACGGATGTACGGATAGAAGGACGGACACCCCATCACTATACATCCCACTTTTACACCAGTCACAAAAGGCATGAACCAAGTATCTCAAGTTCAGACTCTAACCTGTTTATCCAACTAGCTAAAGCATGCCAAATACCATAGCCCTCTCTTATTAGATGCAAAGTATTTCGTAACATTTCAATTAGCCAACAAAAACTTTCATCAAAAAATATTAATAAATATCAAAAAGTTGCTTATTTGTCAAATTCAAGTTGGTTCCATGAAACGGGACCCCCCCCCCCCCCAACACTTGACTACAAAAAGAGTAATAAGTACATCTTAAGACAAAGAAAATACAGCATGAGAAAATTGTATAATATGCAACAAGTTATTGTCCTACTCAGGGGGAAGAATGGTGTCTGATCAATTTATGAAAATAAAAAAAAATTATGCCAATTCTCAAGTTTTTCAATTAGCATATTAATGGTCATGTCAAAAATACTTTCACTCTATTCAATATATCATAGTTGCTTTGAATGATTCAGTGACTCAGTCTGCAAAAACCCTGTCTAGGAGAAGTGTGTTGATTACATCATTACAGACCAGAAAGCAAAATTGAGAGTCACCTAAAAGCCTGCAGTACCATAGATTAGAGTATGACATAAAAACTTATAAACACAGTTAAATCATCAGCCAACCTGAGTTTTGTTTAGAAAACAAAATCTTCCTTAGAATTACCGAAAAGAAGATGACCTTGGAAGGGCAGTATATGAGTAGAGCAAACTGAAAGACAGGGTTGTCCATAAGAATTGAAATGGAAGGGGACATTTAAAAAGTAGAAGGGAGACTGGGGTTCCTCCCCTAATAGGGAGTTTAGGTGGAATACCAAAATAACCAGGGGATTACATCATTATAGGCAGGGAAATCCCCCCCCCCCCCCCCCCTGGGTCTAAGAGACAACTCTGGAAAGAAAATGGGGAAAATGCATGTTAAAGGAACAGGAAAAAGAAAGTTGGGTAAAAGTTGAGGGTGTGGGTGTGGAGGTGTGTGTGTGGGAGGGGGATAGAAATGACATTGAACAAGATGATGGAATCAGGATGGGGTGCAAAAGAACTTACTGCAAGTTCTTTCTCTGCATTATCACAGAAAATAATCTCAACACAATCCCAACATTACTAGATTTTGCTCCAAATCCTACAGGATGGATGACATAAAAGGAAAGTCTTTATCTTATAGAAAACATCTGTAAATTGTGCACACAATGTGACAGACTAACACAGTCATATTTAGTCCTTTAAAGGTCTCAGTAACTGCGACATATATGTGTCTTTATGTCAGAATCACACTCTTCACCAAGGACTTTCATTTTGTCCAATGTACCTGTATACATTCACCAGACCGAACAGGCGAACACCATTCTACCAGACCTGAGAAAATTTCATCCCCCCCCCCTTTTTTTGAAAATAGGTTAAAAAACTAGATAAATGTGAAGTCACTATTTTACTAACAATTTGATCAAGTTTGTATAATGCTGACATTTCCTAGAATATTGGAGACAATACATGTAGCTTTGAGTGAGCTAAAAGTCAAGGAAAAAAGTTCTTATTCATTGTAAAGAGCATGGTCTTGTTCAGTGTTATATATAAATTTAGAAATACTGTTTAAAAGACAAATCCAGTAGATATTTGCTTGGTCCGGTGGTTACACAATATTGAGCAGCATGTAGAGAACTTCACTTATGGTCAATTACTGCCATGGCCTTGAAGTAAGTACGTCAATTTATTAATGTCCAGGTTAAAATCACACCTGTTTCACAATGGAAATCAAGCAGGTCTAGTCCTCTTTTTAAATTTTCTAGGTTTCCTACTGGCTTCATGTTTGGAAATATCATGATGTTTGTTATGTACAGCACCCATGTGTATTTCTAACACATTGTGGATGTCATTTGTTGCCATAAGAAACAAAAAGTAAAACTTTAAGTCTAAACTGATACAGGACATTTGGTCCTGATTGACAGACAGTAGTCATGAGACCAAGCGAATTCTTACTGCATTTGTCCGAGTGTCCAGCGAACCTAGGCAAACACTGATATCTACACTCATTTCATTCTGTGAATAATCCAACCACTACCTTACCCTATCTGAAAATACACTGAATGCATCTTCAAGACATTTTTTTAAAATGAATTCATTCTTCTTATTTACATGAATACTGAGGCTTTTGAACAGTCCAAGAAAAGATTCGTAAGAGGAGCATCCTTTAACTAATGCATTAAGAATGGATCTAGTTTAACTTGAACACCGTGATAAACACCTTTCACCCAAAAAGTAGGTAATCACATGATGTATGGAATATTAATGTAATATATATTCATTCATGACAACTATTCTAGATACACAAACTGCAGGCTACAAAAATCTTACATCTATAGGTTATCAGGCTTCTGGTAGAAATGTTTCAAAAGTTACAATTTTTTTCAAGATAAAAAAAAAAATTAAATAAATAAATATTAAATTCCTTAAAATAATATAGACTTCTTGAAAAAGTTTCTGTTTGAGCTTTGTTCACCAGTAGTCCAGAGATTCTGAATTCTTGCTACTATGTACAATTCCTGCTCATGAAGCAATCATTATAAATTAAGGTTTAAAGAAAATAACATTAACTTAGAGAATCTAGAGGTTTTGCATAATTTCTAATAAAAACAAACAGTGTCAGTATTATATTCATTAGCTAACAAGTTCAATTTGTGCATACACAATCTTTTCACATTATTGATTTCATAAGGAGAGATGCTGTCAAATGTACGAGATTCAAATGTTTCAAGAATCATATTAGATCTACAGGTCTGTCAACTGTTCCTAATATTTCATATTTGTACACTTATCTACGATACTTACCTCTGATAGGAAAGTCTGTGCACTTTTCTGTGCTCCGACATGTAATAAATATTCATATACATAGAGTGCTAACCTGCAAAATATACAAAACAGGTTAAGTAATTTCACAAATATGTTAAAAACGAATTTGAAACAAACTATTCAGTAGTATTCTTTCTTTTCATAACTTGGATTGTAATATTTTTTTATTAAACTGTAGCTATATACAGAATAAACAGCTGATGCACAAGTTCATTTTAGGCCAAGGGTTTTGAAAAGAGAAAGTAGACCATGTTTACTGTATCAGCTATTCAGCGTTTAATAACGAATATTCGTCAGACTATTTATAAAAAAGGCTATTGTTGGATTAAATTCGGGATACCCAAAGTCACAAAAACATTACAATAATGAACTTCAGAGCTTTGTTTTGAAGTCCACATGGTCTACAATGCTACCACATGAGTATGTTTAATAACGGGAACAGCCATTTTGAATGGGGCATCACTTGTGCACAGGTGGAAAATACTCGCTTCGGGTCCTGTATGCGCAATGTAAAAGCTGCAGACCCTAGAATTACTCTCTCAGATTGCATTCTTAAGACCAGAAATGCTGAAAAAATAAAAATCACTTACTTTTCGCGAGCTTGGGCATCCGAGGGTACCGTAGATCCTTTCCCCTTCGAGTACATGCTGGGAGCTGAACTGTCACGCACCTGTCAACATATCAAGGACGACACTGACCCCGTCACTATAGCAACCACAAGTAGAACTGAAGAAAGGCGTTCTACGATTAGTTCGTTAATTATAGCTGAATCTGCGATCTAGAAACCAACAGACTGGGAAATGTGTGTGTTACAGCGACAAAGACCGGCTGGCAAGAGGCCAAATTTATCAAGTTATAGATATTTTCTCCTGCGAAGATGTAAACAAAAGAAATTATACCTTTTAAAATTGTTTGTTATATGTAAAATAAACGAATGGGAGTAGAACTGAATATATACAATTCTTACCTTAGGCATATTCCCTTAAAACTTTTGCTGAATACGATTTATATATAAATATATGCATTAAAATTTCTTCTATTTTTTTTTCTTTCCAAAAAGTTACTGAATACAGAAATGTTATGTAATGGTACGTTTAAAACCAATAATGCAAGTAAAATTTAACATATTTTCACCAGAAATGAGGTATAAATGATATTAACAATAAGTTTTCATTTTCTATTTTAATTTTTGAAAAAAGCTTGTATACACATTTCTTGTAAATGCACTTTAAATTTAGTAATTTAATTTTTAATATTAATATAGAACTTCGCAGAGATGATAACCGCTAATGAAACACTTTCAAATGATTTTTTTTCAATCTGTTAATATGGCCTCAAAATTCACTTTCGTGTCAACTTTGAAATATTTTCAAATGGTAGAGATATATCCTGACCTACTTTCCAGGCAGTTTTGCCCAATAAATATGGGGATCTAGAAACTATCAATCTACACTTGAGGCACATTTAGGAAAACTATTTTGTTTTATTGCGCTTTATCGAAAAAAATTTTCACATTTATGAAATAAAATATTCTTAAAGATAAAACATGGTTTGTAATTCCATAAATATATTTTCAATGATAAATTCACAAATCATATCTGAAGAAAAATGATGTTTACATCAATAATAAACGATTACACATGTTTGACCCCGTAGACCCGACATGTGTATTGATGTTTCCTTTTACCTCCCTCGTAAGCGAACCTACCATCATGGCGGCAGGTTCAATTTCGGAAGACGAATTTTGGGACAGCGTTATTTACTTTTTGACACTATCAGATAAATTAGACAGAAAATGGACCGTCAAAGAAGCTAAAGTATGTTTTATAAACTTAAACTTTGTTATACTCACTGCGTAGCGCCATCAAAACCAAACAATGTCTGGGCACATCCCTTTATCCGACACAAAGGTTTTCGCTTTCCTCGGGCTTCTTGAAAGCCAGGTGTAAACTCCGAATAGACAGAAGGGGGCGTAACCAAAAGATATTGTGCAAGATTGTGAGAGAATATATTAGACTTTAGATATAAAGAAAAAATATGTTGTTAGAAAATGAAAACATGAATTAAAAACAAACTAAAACACAAAGGATTGTTTTTCTTGTAGGATGGTGGAAAGTATGTTATGAAAAAGGAAGAAGAACTAAGTTGTATAAATAAAGATTCGACTCTAGGAGCAGATTTCTATAAAGATCAGGAGGTTAAGGGTGATCACATGAAGTTATATATTAACTTAGTAGGGTAGAGAGTTTACTTAAACTGCACTTTATTTTATTCAATGAGCATAAACTATTTTAAAGATAACATCTTTAATTAAAACATCTGAAGATATTATAAGTAATCCCTTAATCCATGAACAACACAATGATTTTTCAGAGAAGATTTGGATGCAATTGGTTAACACAATATACATGTATTAAAAAAAAGTCGGTATTTTCATTAATGTGGAAGACTGACATTTGCATAGCTTCAGTTACATGAACTAATTACAATGGATGTCTCACTTTCAAAACTTTTATATGATGGTCTTACACCTAAAAATACACATAAATGTTCAATATGAAAATATATATTTCACCTTACTAACAGAAATTAAGTGCTAAATAAATCAAATAGTGAATAGATGTCAATTTATGGATAGTTTGGGCTTTCATTAGGTGATTACATATAAATATACTCACATCTGACTCTCAAAAAGTGACTGTATATTTTACATCAGATCAAAGTGTGAGCACTATATAAAAGGTTGTGCATTTCAAAGACTTAAAGTACATGCATAGTGTGTTTTTTACAACAATTTGCTAGGCTGTCACCATCTTGTGTTAACTATATATAGCAACACTATATACAAGTCCAAATTACATGTATTAGTAAAATTGTCATACTATATAGTGTCTTATTTCTCAGTTTTATCAAATTCAAAAAAAAAAAAAAAAAAAAAAAAAAAGTATCATTTTTAAATCTCTAAATAAAAATCTCTAATAGATCTATGCAATGATGCAAATTGAAGAAGTTTAACCAAAATAAAAATAAAAAAAAATGAAAGTGTAAAATTATGAAAGCTGGACCAAATTATTGAAAGTTATGCTACAGAATTATTTTTTTCATTTTGACATATCATGCAGAAGAGAGATAACTCTATTATTTCTCAAACTTGATTTTTTTTGTTTTGATCTTGCAGATAGAGGAGGAAGACAGTTCAACACTTCAGACTGATGGGAAATTGGAGCAGATTGTCCTCACATATGAATTCCATATTGTGTACAGCCAAAGCTACAATGTTCCAGTATTGTACTTCAATGCCCATTTCCAAAGTAATTTATATACTTTTTTTTTATTTAGATAAGACTGCAGTGTACATTCATACAAGAACCATATCTGTGTCACTAGCTTCCTGTATTAATGACTGTATCAGTATATGAAGCTGGTCAGGTATTGGTTGACCGTGGCAGGTCTGTTCAAATCTGACTAGAGAGCTAAAGTTCTTCAGCTACATCTGAAAGTTTTACAAAAGTACCCAATGACCACTAGTTTCTTTATGATGTAATGTAGATACTACAAATACTTAACAGCCATTTATATAGAAAAGATTGTTAACTTAATTAATGAGAAGATAACTCTTTCTGACATAATTTCCATAGATGGAAAGCTGTTGAGTTTGGAGGAAATATGGGACATGGTGCCAGCGGTGTATAAAGAGAGATTAACACAGGATAGATGGACATTCATCTCACAGCAGGTAGGCGAAAAAATTGACTGAAATTTAGAAAAAAGAGCTTTATTTCTGCTCTTTTGTTTCAGTGACAGGCAGATTAAAAAAAAAAAGGTGTAATTTGTCAGAGTAATTCCCCTGTCAAATGATCAAAACCTGGAAATTTCAGGTCTATTCAATAATTTTTAACAAAAAAATTTTGATTTCCCATTCAGTTTTTTAGTAATTTGGAGATAAGATTCTGTTAGACATTGATGAAAGGTTTGAAAGTAGGTGAATACCTAAAGCAGGCATAAAAAAGCTCATGGCTTGATAATATTTTAATTATGAAAAGAATATTGATTGTAGGAACACCCTCTTCTTGGTCGGCCATTTTACTTCCTACATCCTTGTCATACAGCAGATTTAATGAGAAACATCCCGGCCTTGACAGATAAAAGGTAAAGTGGAAGGTACAACCAGGGTTTATAGAAGTGAATACAAACCACATTATCTCAAACTCAGTGGGACTGAGATAGAAACTGAGATATCTGAGGATTTGAGATATTGTGGTTAAATGCATCAAGAAAAAAAGTGGTTGGGATTTTCAACTTATTTCAACATATCCATGATATTAATTTGAGATATCACTGTCCATTTGTATATTTTTTATCTTTATGATATAGATAGCTATGCACAGTTCTTGTCATTTTAATATTTTGTTACTGCAAAGTAATTGCTGATCACAAGGAAGGCATTGCTAACTTTCTCACTTCTTTCTTTTTTGTAGACAGTATATAATTGCATGGCTGAGTGCAGTTGGGCCAGTGGTTGGGTTACAACTTCCTCTGGAGTATGGACAGCACCCTTGAATTGATGTCCTAATTCTTGTATCGGCCATTCAAAAATAACACACTCGTACCTACTTAATGGAGAACTTCAACCTGAATGTATATTTTGTGACCCTCCATTAACTGTACATTACCAATCAAAGACCCATTTACCCAAAATAGGGGAGAAAATGGATGCAGATCAGGCCCCGGGATCCTAAAACAGACTTGGATGTATAAAGTGAATTATCATCTGTAAGATGCTAATTTGCGGTGACATGAAACTCAAAATTTGCAGATATCAGGGTAATGTAGTCTTGAATGACTTCTTGATCCTGGGCTCTGAAATTCTCTGATTATGGGATACACTGTGCCCCCTGACATCTCAGTTCTTTGATCCTGAAGGTCAAATGCTGCTCCTCTTCAGACCAGTAGAGATAAATGGATGCAGATCTGATGCTCTGCTTCAGGTCACATTGTAAATGGTAAACCACTGGATAGTGAGAATTTAAGGTCATTCTTTCACAGAACACGAACGGGAGACAACACATGCAGATAAGATCTGATGCTTCAGCATACATCTTCTCTGCTGAACATTCAAATACTAAGAATACATTATTTTACTATTCCTGTATTACTGAAACTGGAACAACTTGAGTACATGTATTATAATTGGAGTATGTTTTTATAACAGACACAGTATGTTACAACAATAACAACATATGTCAACTTTATCAAGAAATACTGGCTACCTTAATAATATAGTCGGAAGAAATTATAAAAATTGCTTTTTGCAAATTACTACTTAACACATTTTGTTTTTAGTTTGAAATTAAAAGTTGTTCCCCTTTGCATAGATATGTAGTGAACAAGTTTGTTTATTGTGGGAATATGCACTTGATCATTTGTTCTAAAGCTTGCTTTTTTCCATAGTAAACTTCCTTGGAGCTTAAAAAATGGAGAACTTGGATGCTTATTAAATTTTTAAATAAGTATGAGGTGTTTAAAAGGAAATTAAGTAAATGTGTCAAAAGATACATGTAAAAAAGTTTTCCTTATAAGTAATACACAAAGTATTACACATTCCTGCAATCAAAATACATTGTAAATATTTAATTTTGCTGGATATTATATTTACTCCTTCTTCATTCACAGAAATGTCCTTATTCTTTTTTTTAGCTCTACTGGTCAGAGAGCAGAATAGCTAAATAAATGTGGTAGTAAGGTGTCCATTGTCTGTCTGTCTGCTTGCAATGAAAGTCACACTAAGAGGCTAAACCAAGTATCATTCTATTTATTGCTGTTGTCATAGTTTTAGTTCCAAGTGCTTTCTTTAAATTCTCTTGCTTTGTTGATTTTGGTCCGATTTCAAATAAAACTTGGTGACAAGTAGTCTACAGTAAGAAACGTAATTCTATTTCTCGGTTTATAATTTTGATGAACCGTGTTGTTATGGTCACTAGAAATAGGATCTCTGAAATTCTTTCTAAAGGCCTCTCTTCCCCCACTTGGGGCAGTGATTGGAGCAGAGATTGGAGTAAGGAGTTGTTCATTACGTTGCGGGTTCGAATCCACTCTGTGACACGGAGACCAGTCCTTCGGATGAAACCATATAAACCAAGGTTCCGTGTCGCAGTTTTGCGGACCCTCCACCAGCAAGTGGTAGTATCTCAATATGAGTAAAAAATTCTCAAAGGGACGTTAAACAACCTAATAAATAAATACATAGCGGGTTCGAATCAAGCATGTGACGAGGTGACCAATCCTTTGGACGAGACTGTATAAACCTAGGTTCTGTGTCGCAGTAGGTAATGACATGAAAAAGATCCCTCACTGCTGAAGGCTACAAGTGCCGAGTACAGATCCAAATTTGCAGCCCTCCACGGGCATGTGGTGGTGTTTCAAAATGAGTGAAAAATTCTCGAAGGGACATTAAACAAACAAACAAAAGGCTTCAGTTTAAGTCAGATTTCAATCAAACTTACCACAAAAAGAGACTGATCAAAGGATCATTATTTGTTTATTGCTGTTGCTATAGTTTTAAGTCAAGTGCTTATTTTCTCTTCTTTGTTTTAAGTATAACCAGGAGTTTCTGATGAGACCGTAGCTCTACTGGTTTGAACTTATAACAAAGGAAGAGAAAAGTAGCACTTGGAATAGAATAATGATCCTTGGTTTAGTCTCTTTTTGTGGCAAGATTTATTTCAATAAGAGTAAAACTGTAGGAGGAGTAGCCTTTTAAAAGAATTTTACAGAAATTTCGATTTTAGTAACCATGGCAACACCATTCATCGAAATCAGAAACAAAAAACACAGAATTATGTATCATAGAGTAGTTTACTTGTGTGCCAAGTTGTACTTAAATCGGACCAAAACTGAAGGAATAGCGTTTTGAAAGTATTTCAGTGAAATTTCTATTTTTCGTAACGATGGCAACACTTCGTCAAAATCAAAAATCAATATAAAACATGTATCTTAGTGTAGTCTACTTGTGTGCCAAGTTATATTGAAATCCGACCAAAACTATAGGAGGAGTAGCGATTTGAATGTATTTCACGGAAATTTCTATTTTTAGTAACCATGGCAACACCATTCATCGAAATCAGAAACCGATATACAGAATTATGAACCTTAGTAAAGTCTACTTGTGTGCCAAGTTATATTGAAATCAGACTAAAGCTTTAGGATGAGTAGCATTTTGAAAAATTGTTTACATACAGATGGACGGACACCTTGCTATGGCATAAACTCTTCTGGTCTCTGACCAGTAGAGGTAAAAATGTAGAGCTACAGTCTTGTCAGAGACTTCTTGTTTATTATCAATTTTGACGTTTGTTCTCAATTTATGGTTTCTTGAGGCCAGAAGAGCTTATATATTAGTAAGGTATCTACCGTCTGTAAACGATTTGTCAAAGCTACTCCTCCTCCTGTTTTGGTCCGATTTCAGTAAGACTTTGTACACAAGTAGACTTTACTAAATTTTGTATAAACAGTGTTGTCGTGGTTACTAAAAATAGCAATTTCTGAGAAATTCTTTCAAAATGCTACTTCCAAAAATTTAGCCATATTTCAGTAAGAATTTGTACAGAGGAAGACTTTACAAAGATACATAATTCTGTATATCAGTTTTTGATTTTTACGAAAGAAATGGTTACTAAAAACATAATTTTCTACAGTTTAGGGCAGATTTCAATATAATTATTCTCAAGTAAACTACATTAATATACATCAATTTTTTATTCTCTTTTTCGTTTTGGTGAAAGGTGTAGCTGCAATAATGTAGCCCTCTCCGATTTTTTTAATCTGATATTTTCAGGAGAGGGCTACAATTCCACTGCATCTCCGTAATGGTGCAAATATATTTTTTAGATACGGGCGACTGCAGGCAAAATAAATTGTTTTTGCATTCAACTTACTTCCAATAAGACGGAATTTTTATTCACTATCAACATCATAGCCCTTTATACGCGAAAACCAAGTAAAATAAATCTGCGTGTTTTCCAGTCGTTCACCTCAGCAGCCATGACAGTTCTCGCGTGATGTACTGAGACTTGGGCTTGAAATTTAGAATCACTTGATAATGTAAATGTCGGTGTTGATAAATGTTTGTGTAGTATGATATAACTAAACATCGATAAATAAAAGCATTCCACGTGATTTTTTTATCATAAACAGTGATATTTATGCTTATAATAAAGGAATTCCATACAGATCCGCTCCCCTAGATCCCAAATTCTCATTGGTTGTCCCAAAATAAAATCGATCAAGGTCAGTAAACATGGCGGATAAATTCAAGTTGTGATGTTGACATACACGAAAAATAACCGATATACGGATTGTTCTGTATATTTTTGGATCAATTCATGTCCTGCATAACTACATTTTATGAGTTCAGGTAAGATATGTTAATAAAATACCCACTTACTGATAATTTGAGCCGAAATCTGTGCGGTAGTGAATCACTCCCGCACTTGCACCATTACGGAGATCCTAAGGAGTTGTAGCCCTCTCCCAAAAAAAAAAAATTAAAAAAAAAAAAAAAAAATTGGAGAGGGCTACATTATTGCAGCTAGTGAAAGGTGTTGTCATGGTTATTTATGAAATTCTTTCAAAACGCTACTCCTCCTACAGTTTTAATCCGAAATCAGTAAGTAGGCTACACATGGCTGTAGGAACCGGGGGGGGGGGGGGGCACGGTAGGGCCGTGCTCCCTCCCCCAATAATTTTGCCGGTATATAGAATACTATAGAAAACATAGCTACTATATTCTTATACCCCCTCAATAATAACGTCTCATGACCTTTTTTTGCTTAATTGTCAAGGAATATAGATCTGGTAGTTGACAGTGCCCCCCTACCGAAAATGTATGGATGTGCCCCTCCGAAACTAAAATTGCTTCCTACGGCCTGCTACACTAACATACATAATTCTTTTTATCGGTGTTTGATTTCCATGAACAGTTTTGCCAGGGTTAGTAAAACAGAAATTTCAGTGAAAATCTTTCAAATGCTAATCCCCCTACAGTGTTAGTGCGGTTTCAATAAACCCTTTAAGTGAGTAGACTATGCTGATTCTTGATTCTGTGTATCGAATTTTGATGAATGGTGTTGCCTTTAAATAGCAATTTCTATGAAATTCTTTCAACGTGCAATTTAAGTCCAACTGCAACAAAACGTGCCACAACTGAACGAAGAATCATTCGGTTGATTGCTGTTGCAAATTTTCCAGTTTAAGTGCTGCCTTCCTCTTCCTTTGTTTTAAGTACAAACCAACACAGGCTACAATTTTCAGGTTATATTGATTTGGGGGGTGGGGTGGGGGGGGTGGGGTGGGGTTCAAAGTTGAAAGTAAAAATCCATCAATTTTCTAAACATCAACGTAAATCTTTTCGTACCAAGACAGTTTTTAGTTCCACATTTTTTTAATTCCTCATTCAGACATCGTTTTGTAATTTTTGCGGATTTGTCCTATCCGCAAAATTCCGCAAAAATTGGACAACCGCAGAAAATACCCGTTATACGGTAGTCAGTTAAAATCCTTACGATCTGGGTTTGGTTGTTTGATTATGAGTTGCAAATGCAAATGGAGTCCAATTTTAAAGAAAGGTCGTATATATATTATTTATACATTTTTTAAAATTACTTGTAAAGTTTTTTTTCTATAGTTTTTTTTTTAAGTTTTTTTTTTTGCATGTATGTATAGACACAGTGATACTTTTTTTTTCTCGAAATGGTATTACTATTGGTCAAATATTTGAGTTTTATTCCCCTCCTTCTCTGAATATGACATTGGTCAATTGATTTAACATATATGTGGACGGAATAAGTTTTGCCATATATGTACCAATAAATAATTATTTGAAAATTAAATTTCCTCTTAACCATATGAAGTTTTTAAGCTCGTTTTTCGCCTTAAATGGTATAAATTCCCCATACGTGTATTGAACATTCAATTACAATGATTTCCCACCTGTTCAAAAAGTAGGCGGTTTCTTTTCTCCTTTTGAAAATTTTCCTCTGCAACCAAAAGGAACATCTTGGTAGAGTCAAACTGGTATAGATTAAAAATGGTGGATGAAACCAACACCGCATGAATATGGGGCGTAAAAAAACTGACGAATCAGGGTCTAGGGTATTGCAACAATATAAAGTGTAATTTATTGAAACCAGGAGTTAATTTTTTTCATCCACAATGTCGCATTTCAGCTTCCCAGCTAGTGAAACGAAAGATTTCGTTCTGACATCGATCAGTATATCAAGTATGCAAATTATACAGTGCATCGTGTTATGTGTGAAAAAATTAATAATGGCCCGCCTTTAGCTATGCTTGAAAGGGTTTATAAGATTGAATAATATACGTTTTTACACCATATTCCAGTTTATATAGGTCATCACCTTTTTTCATAGGCTAATCCATCCATACATGAAGATGGAAATGAACTGTAATTTAACTCGTACGTTAAGCCTATACTAGTCCTCAGGCTTGCAAGAAGTGTCCAACCACTGTTTTGCTATAGTCACTGAAGAGTTTCTGTCACATTTATACATACGATGTATTTATAAACCATTTCTTAACGAAGTGGCAGCCACGATTGAAGATTTCAATTAATACATAAGTAAAATTAATACCAATGTCCCCTGTAAGTATTGCACAACTATTTCAATAAATCCACATTAATCAACTACGCTTTGAAAAGTTGTAACGCAACAAAACTTAAAGTGACAGTACGGCGCATCTCATCAAAAAACTGACTAGATAAAATTTTCCGACAAGATTTGGAATTTTTTTACTACTCATTAATTTATAAACTTTCAGAAAATTACAACTTTTCCAATTAAATAATTTGGATTATTTCATTAAAATTGATAGTTATTTATGGGACGTAAATATATACATCGCAACGTGTTCGGGGTTCCACATTCCATGCTATGCACGCATGCGTAGTTTTCATAAATAAAACAGCATGGTTAGAGAGGGAATCCCGTTAGGCCTGCTACATTGACAAAGTCGACCAAAAAGAAAAAGAAACTGAAAATAGAACTTGAAAAAGCAACTTTCCTGACTAAAATTTAGTTTGGGGATTAATATAATCGCTGGATAAGGAAGAAACGGGAACTCGGCGACACTCAGGTTTGTTGATACTTGTTCAGTTGTTATCATTTCTCATTTATCCGTCGCTTTCAAAGAAAAAAATGGTGTAAACTCAACATTAAAAATACATCTTTGACTTATAAACATTGTTGCCATTTGAAATGCTAATTTTTTTAACTGTGCAGAAAAATATTTTGTTTGACATTTGCCGCGATAACGTATGATTAGTTGGTTTTTCCTTTCTCGGACCCCAATACACAAAACGTAAACATTTGTACTTTTAATTCTGTTAAATTCGCCTGAATGCAGACTAAATTATTATTTTAGATTATTTTATCAGAAAGTTATGATAATTTGTGTTTTTGAAAATTGCTTTCACCTAATTGCTAGCGCTCTCGAGCGCTAGCAACTACGTTAGTCTATTTTCCTGGAATACGCATGCTCGACTTCACGGTAGGGCATTCTGGGAACACAACTGTAGATAAACTGTACCATGTAAATTTCGTTTAGTTATCTGAAAATACATATCATCTGAAGTTTTGTGCTTTGTTGTCTAAGCTGTATACATATGTTAAAAAAGTAACAGTTAAACTTAGGTCTTATAATGCCAAGACTGAAGAGATCGGTTAATTCTAAAAGAATACTAAAACCCTAACCAAGTTTTTCTTAACTTCTTTCTGGCAAGCTCGGCAAACAATCTCGGATATATATGTTGCTAACCTAATTAAAATCTTGGCCTTGTGCAGCGATCTATGTGAGCGGATCAAAGGATCTGATTTTAATCAGATTGTATATGTTACCGGAAAGACCTGAGAAGATGCGATTGCTACAAAACAGTACTACACTGGATAATTTTAAACTAGGTGCCCATACCTAGGTTCTACTGATCTCTTTTATTTCACCTCAAAATTGAAATAACAGTAAGCTACAGAATGCTTAAAGGACAGTTAATGACTTATGCCATCGCCAATGTGAAGCCCACTTTCACCATTCATTCTGAATTGACACCCCCCCCCCCCTTCCGCTACCTTACACCACCCCAGTGCACCACTGCGCCTATTAATAATTAATCGATTCAGCAACTTAACAAAGGGTTCAGATATCTACTTCTGTGTTTTATGATGGCTAACGCGCTAGCTCACCCATCTTTTTTAAAAGATAAGCTTGTATTCATTATAACTGTAAACTCTACAGTGTAGGCACGTGCCGTTTTAGAATTCACGTGGTAAAATAAACAGATCTAAGACTGCTCCAGTTCGTACGACCCTTGATTTTCCGGCAGATTCTAATTACGTTTATTTTGTTTGAGTAGATAATATTTCTGTTTCTCAAACTGCTTACATCAAGTTCATACCTTATTTCTTAATGACATATTGGGTAAATTTGGATGAAAAAGCACACATTTTGCAGCCGTACTGTCGCTTTAACCAGTTCAATACACATGTATATAAATTGCGCTCGATTCACATTGCTCCAAAACTAATCAAAATGCCTGTATACATATGTTACAAAACAACGACTGAATTTTGAAATTCATAATTTATTTGGTGATAAGACTTGGGGTTTGGCTAATCTATAATACTAGTATGTTTGTAACAAATTATTGCACTATTTGTATAATACAATGTATAGGAAATGCATTTTTGGGCTTTATTTAATATAAGCGAATAATATTAGCAAAAATCTATAAATCAAAAAGAAAATGATAAAATGTACAAGGTACAATAGAACTTGTATACGAAAAATACGCATGCATTCTCAATTTTAAAAAAAATGAATTCAAAATTTAAGGATTAAACTTTTATAGGGAGACATGGTGTCTGCATTAATCTTTGAAAGAAAAAAAATGATTATTTACAGAAACACTGCACAAGTGACACAAAATTTTCTAGTAATTGCGAAAACTAGACAAAAAAGTTTCAAAAAAACTCAATGCATTGCAAACTATATACAATTCAAAATATATCATTGGAAGAGTGAAATATCGTCGTATAAACTAGAATGTACATTATTATAAACCAATACACTGTTATTCCGTACCCTCAAAATACATGTACGCAGTAATAAGTTTATAATAGTATTCCATTAGTCCAAGGCATGCACTTATACACTGTGATGCACGTTTGCATAAAATCATACATAATAAATATTAGAGGGTTTTTTTTCTTGCAAATGGGGGGGGGGGGGGATTGCGGAAACAGATGCATCTACAATACTATCCAAGTAACAATGCTCCAAAAATTTTTAACACTTTTGGTGATCTTTGTGAAACTACAACAAGAAAAAATATCAACAAAGCTGTTTTTTCTTCCTCAAAATACAAACGAAAGTATGTGATAATTTCAAGTGGCAAAGAATGCGGCGTTGTCACAAAACAAGCCCTCAACCGATAAAAGCAGAAATCTCCATTCTTGATCGGATTTCGTTTCCGAAGGTCCACACCTCACCAATGCACGAAAACTTCGGATTAACGACAATGTCTGCAAATGCAACAATTACAAAATCGTCACAGCGATAAGCGACAAAGAAATCCTTGGCAGTGCGCCCCACAATGGTATTGGGAGTCGCCCGGAAACAAACGTACCTTTCCTCTCCGAAAAACAAAGCAAATATTGGTTTATTTAACACCACATAGTTTTCACTTAAACACCGAACAATAGAAATGATTTCGTCTTGTGGAATGTTTGGATCCTCACTTGCGGCCATACACTTCCCCTTTAGATCGTAAATGGCAGCTCGGCGGACATGTCCCTTACCGACAAAAAGATTCATCATGTCGGACCAGTCCATCGGTTTGTTCAGATCTATCTGCACTTGATCCATGCTCAAAAAGTTGATCTGTCTGAGTCAGCGATTCCGATAATCTCCAACGGTATAAAAGATTTTATTTAAAGTTCACCACTGACACACCTATGTATATTACGAATTTGTATTTACCTGTTTTCTAGTAGGTCAAGTATGACAGGGCCAATGTAATGCTTGACGAATCAACTCTGCCTTGTAGACATATTCCAAATACCTGCTCCCACGCTTTCCAGACTGCTGAAACGTGTTCTATACATGTTCAGCAACAAACAAAATGAACATGTACATCTTTATAGCACACTTGTTACTCATTATATCAAACTGGGTGCAATTATCACGGTAATATATTAATACATGTACTAGGTATGCATCCTGTTTAAAGATCCTATTTTACATGTAATTGCGTTAAATCTATGAAATGAATGTTACTGATCTAATATCCCCTAATGCAACGTAAGTAGATAAACTTTGTCCGTTTCTATTATAAGCAAACGTGGTTTCTTATCGACCTTGCATTGTAAAATTTCAACGGATTTACTCAACAAAAAGATTAGTTATAATTTACCGTAACGTTTATTTTCACTAACACAGCTTTATTTATTGTAGAAGTGTCCGTCTGTCTGTCTTTAAGAGAGGTGCATTGTGGGATAGAACTGTTAGGATATATTAGGTGAAACCTTGCAGTAATGATAATTAATGAGAGTGACAGACAGATAATAATTTACTGACAACATCAACTAGTTTTAATATTGTAACGGGAATCCAGAAAATTGAAAATTATAAAATATTTTTTGAAACTGAAGGGGACATAAAATATTCTACTAAAATCATGCTTGGAAGAAAGATTAAAGAATAATGATATCTGGATCAGAGATATTCAAAATGAACTTAATAAACTGGGACTTGGCTATATATTTGATGCAGATTTCAATGATAATACTTATAATTATATGTTAGTAAAACAAAGATTCCTTGAGGTGAATAACCATACTATGATTTCTAATAATTGTAACAATGCCCGTAGCCCGCTATAACAACATTTGGTTGATAATTTTGGTATACAATATTACTTGCATAAAGCTATTAATTATATGTACAAAATACAAAATGCTAGAAGTAGACTATCTGCCCATAATCTACATGTTGAAACTGGTAGATATGTTAATGAAATTAGAAAAAACAGATTATGTAAAATGTGTTCTTTGAATGTTTTCGAAGACAAATTTCATTTTATTTTACAATGTCCTTTTTATCACGACCTTAGATCTAAGTATTTGACAAAGTATAAGAAATCCAGTGTTTGGAAATTAATTCAACTTCTAAGTGTACAAAATATAAAGGAACTTTGTAACCTTGGAAAATATTTAAAGAATCACTGTCTAGTTAGTAGAGTATGCCAGGGCATCAACGATAATTGGAAACGTGGGATAATTTGCATAACGGGCGAGGCCCGTTATGCATAAATTATCCCACGTTTCCAACTATCGTTGATGTCCCTGGCATACTCTACTAACTAGACAGTGATTCCTTATATTTCCATTTCATTGTGAAATAAAATTGTAAATTTAGATTTTAAAAAATGTAAACTAATAGATTTAAATTACACGAGGCCTCACATGTCAATTTCAATAGTCCCCGCCCACTGACGTCAAACACAAAGACAATCGCACGAGAATTACATGCATATTAGGCCTTCTTAGCGTCAGACACAAAGACAGCCGCACGAGAATTACATGCATATTAGGCCTCCTTAGCTCCTGACTTTTCGCTTGGTGAAATTTGCATTCCGGTAGAATGATCAAGAAATCAACTCAACTAACTTTCAAAGAGTTATCACAGAGAAAACAAATAGAAATGGAAATATTTATATCAAGCTTCCACTAGAAGAATGAAACATTTGTAAATTTTTAGTGTTTTATAATTACAGTTGCCTGTTAGAAAACACGTCCTACATAGTTTACTTGCTATTTATTGATTATGCTCACTCTCATATTGTTATATTTTATAATATTGTATATATATTTAGCTATTCCTATATGTAATCTGATGTGTGACGCAGAGAAATAAAGAACTTGATCTCCAAGCTTCATTAAAAATGGCAATCAAATTATTATCTGTCTGTCACTCTACAATATTAATACTAGTTGATGTCGTTCCCATAGACTTTTGGTAGAATATTTTGACATTTTGGACTGTTTTGATGTTGCAAAAATGTTTTATGGTGGTGATGATTGTAGGTATATATTTCGGCGTATTTAAAAAAAAGGGGTATTTCAACTATTCTACAAGAGAGTTTTTATGGTCATACTGGGAATCTTTTTTTTGTACACAACTCTTCATTGCCCCGTTTTTCACATGTTTAACACTGATGCAACTGAAGTACAATGTTACTATTGAACTTTTCAAAAGGGACTTAATTTGTTGTGAAAAACGTACAGTTACAAGAATTATATAGAAACTTTCTCATGTAACTGCTTCATTGTACCAAATTTAAATCAAACTAGATGCTGTCATAAGACAGTAATACTCGCACTAAGGTGTTTGCCTCTAAAAATCTGGTAAGCAGGGAAGAAGCACACATTTAAATCAAGCATAAATTGCCCAGTTGACATGCAACCCATATGGGCCTCTTAAATAAATATTTCATTACCAGTCTGATATTACATAATTTCATAATGTAAATTCTGCTAAAGAGAGAATTTTTGAAAGATTTGTGTAAAAAAAAAAAAAAAAAATGAGGGGGTGGTGGGGGTGGGGGTGGTTAATTTTTGGCCCATAGTTGGAACTTGTTGAATTTATTGTCAAAACAATTATTATTTTAGTGCATAGCTTTTTTGATGAACTTAAAAAAAATAGATACCAAAATGACAACTTGTGCAAATTTTTATCGGTATTTTGGTAGGAAAACCCCTTTCCAAACCAACATCCGATCAACTTTGTCAAAAGTCAACCCCGCACCCACGATACACCTGTTTTCCTGTCATAGTTGGAATAGATAACACAAACATATGTAAAAATAAAACATTGTTTGTAATTACAAATGTACACCTTTTTTGGAAAATTTCTGGACCTGTGCATGGCGTTGGAATTACGTCACACTACGAGCACTACTTTTACCGTTATCATTACAGTGCTACCTCGGTATATTGCCCTCCGTTATATTGCCACCCTCGCTTATTGCCAGGAATTCTCGAAGAACGGATTTCACCCTGTGTTAATACACCCGTTATATTGCCACCCCCGCTTATTGCCATCCGCCACTGGTTTTGGGAAACAAAAGGTCAAATTATGTAAGGAAAACCCTCGGTAACAATGCCAATTATCTAGCGCGTGTCGGTAATTTGGACACCACACCCGTGCTTTGACAGTGGTTGCGGTGAAGCGTGACTGCCTGGACAAGGAATTCAGCTAAATTAAAAATAATCGTTGTATTAAACTCAAAATTAGCAATGTCTTTGGCGTGTGTTTTTAAGATAGAATTATTTCATCACAGAAATGAAACGTCAGGCGAGAGAAAGCGTACAAATTTAGATTACGAAAAAAAAAGATTGATCAACAATCGATCTATTTGATCGTAAATGGCCGATTATTGCTTATATTGGATAATGCACAAAACCATAATAAATGCAAAAATTCATTTGCGTCCCCTTAGATTAAGAAGCCATTCTATCGATCAAAAAGGAAACCCCATATCTATTTTTAGACTACCATAATTCCGCACGTGAAAATATTAAGGATTCCGTTAGCCCTGAAATTTTCTTTAATTGTCAGGCATTGTTTGATTGATTAATATCAAAACAGAATCGGAAGAGTACACAGGTACTAGCAAACATGAAAATACATGTTTAATATAACGGGTTGACGAATTCTGACATGTGACTTACCATTCGTCAGTCATGATGCTTTACCAACCGAACTTTTTAACTGATTCAGAGACGGTGAAATAATCTACTTTCGATTCAGATGAAATTAATGATAATTCTCAAAAACTTTTTATACCAAGAGGCTATAACGGCCACCGACATTTTTGGCATCAATTCTTAGAGCATGACGAAAGGAAATTGATGCGTTCAGTATTCTGATATTTTATTTCTTTTTAGTCAAAATATTGTAAAAAAAAAAAATAATAATAATAATAAATAAATAAATAAATAAAAAAAATAATAATAGTGACCTTTTTTCAACTGCCCTTATACACACATGTGACATAAATAGATTGTAACTGAAATAAATTACGTAATCTATTTATTTTGTTTTGATAACCCACTGAATTGTAATTTATAGCAGAATTCGTTATATTGCCACCCTCGCTTTAATGCCAAAATCTGTCTTGGACAAAAGTTGGCAATATACCGAGGTATCACTGTATTAGATTGCACATGATGTATGTACATCACTATTACCTTTGTACTAATGGGAATATTAATAGTGTGTGTTTTAAATAAAGGATGACTGCACTTAACGCCTGTTTTTGGGTCTTTTTCGGTTGATTCTGTTGCTTTTATATCTAAACCTTATTTCATTTTTGTATGTTTATGAAAGAATCCTGTCAATTTGGAACCAAATTTAAATCTTAAAATGATTTTAGACTGTGATACAATAAAATGATTCAATGTTTTTTCTCCTTACTGCTTTCCAAATATAGTGAATTTACACTTACCTGCCCTTGATTGAACATTAGATATGCATGAGAGGTGGAGCTAACATTGTAAGAATGGGTCTAAAATTAGACTTGATTGTTTGGAAAAAAGAACGTGATCACTCTTTACAATCTCCCTCTCCATTCTGTATGACACAAATACACTTCTGACAAAGGTTTCAAAACGAAATTAACAATATGAGCACATCAATGTAATTAAAGCAGATTTTATATCAATGCCAGATGACTTAACGTGTTCGAACACAGTGTCCTAGTTAGCAGAAAACATGCTACCTTACAAGTCACGTGACGGAATTTAGTATTCACAAAGTTACCTGAGGTAAGAAATCACGTGGTGAATTATAATATTCAACATGTCACAATCCTTGGTTACAACACAGAGAGCGAATGTAAGAAGAAGCAGTTTTTTCTCTTTTTAACCGTCAGCGCATGTTTGTCTATTAATCTCCTTTTGACACATTATTATTTATGCAAATATACTACTACTGTTAAACGTAGAACAATAGACAAACATGCGCTGACTATGTATAAAAAAAGTCAGTAAAAAAGTGGGCGTCCTCATTATCGAACGGAGATTCAAGAAATTGTGATAACCCCTTCCTTTGAAAACAGATTCGAACTTCATAAATACACACTTTTATTAAATGT